GTCTGAAGGACTAGACTCTGCTCTTGGTGGGAGGCCAGGTCTACTTGGCTGGGGTCACACTCTGCTCAAGGCTGCCTTGGCCACCACCCAGGAGAAAGCCCCTCACTGAGCCAGACCCTGTACCCAGCACAAGGGGTGAGATCAGGCTGAGGGAGGGGAAATCAGGCCAAAGGAGGCAAACAAACACATGGGTCCTGATCCTGCCTCCACCACTTATGCACTGTAATCTTAGGCAAGTTACTTAATCTCTCTGTGCCTCAGTTTCCTTATCTGTAGAACGGTGCCTAACTTCTAGGGTTGTTGGCAGGATTAAACTGATTAACATACATAATAGTGTCTACAACAGTGCTATAGGCATGTTTTGTGACATTGTCATTCTCGATGTCACTACTCAGCTCTCTCTGAGCCTGTTTCTTCCCCTTTGATACTGGAGGGTGGTCACTGTCTCACGCAATGATGTGAAGTTGAATAAAGTAATGAATGTGCAGTGTCCGGGACATGGCAGGTACTCCCCTTTCCTTTCCCCAAGAGGGGTCGGACTATGAGTCAGAGTTGGTCCTGACCCCCACCAGGGCTCCCTGTGTGATCCTGGCGTGATCTCTGGCCCTTGGCCTCAGTGTCCCTATCTATGAAAGAAGCTTCGGGGACAAGTGTTCTCTAAGTTCCATGGTCATATCTGTTTCAGCCTCTCCCCCACCCTTGTTCCCTCCTTCCTTCCTTTCCCATTTCCAACTGATGTCCTACTGTATCCCCTCCTGATATGACAGAAAGAACCCTTGGGAGCCTGAAGCAGGTGGAGGGGATGGCTGGTGGGCAAGGGGAACCAGCCCTCAAGCAGCCCAGGGCCCAGTCCAGGACCCCAAGGGTTAAGACCCAGACCGAGGGGCGGGGGGACAGGGTCAGTGCTGGACAGACGGGCCTGGAGCCCAGGGCTTGCCTCCCCTCCCCCTCCCCTGGGAACAGAGGCCATTTGTTTGGGCATTGACGGCTGTCTTTGAGCTCAGCCAAGGGAGAGTGTAGTGGGAATAGGAGAGGGCCCCAGAGAGTGGGGAGGACTCCCTTCCCTTCAGCTGATGCTCTAGGCCTGGTCCACCACTAGCTCCCAGTATTCTGGGGCCCCCACACATCTCAACGGATCCCTTCCCCTAGGTTCTCCCTTCATTTAAATGCTCAGTGCTGGGGCAGGATTTAGATTCAGACAGGCCTGATTCTTGCCCCAGCACAGTTTCTCTCTGGGGCATGAGTCCAGGGCTTATTGCCCTATCCTGCAGATGAGGAAATGGAGGCTCTGAGGAGTTTGGGGACTTGCAGAGTCACATAGTGGTTGGTGGCTGCACAGGGACTCTGGGCCCAGGTCCCAGTCAGCCCTATGGCTCTGCAGGCCTCCTCCCCACAGAGCTCCAAGGAGACCCTTCTTAAGCTGTGTCATTACCAGGACTGAAAGGCTGGGCAGGAAGGAGAGTGCAATAAGCAGCCCACATCTGAAACCCGAAGTCCCAAAGGGCTTAGGGATTTGGAAGGGAACAAAACCTCTGGAGGGTGGCAGGGAGGACAAGCAACCTGCTTGATGTATGGAGAAGCATGGCTGGAGCCCAGGAGGCAGGGGTAGGGGGGATGGGGGTAAGGCTGGGGCCCAGTGGGGAGGCCTGAGTGACCAAATGAAGCCTGGAGGCAATCAGTGTCCTGGTGACCTCTGCCCACCTTCACCACACCAGTCATCAGTACTCTGCCTGGGACACCCCTCTCCTACCCTACTCCAGTGAGCAAGCAGCTAGTGGGGATGTGGGGTCCCCAGGCCAGGGTCTAGACAATCCTCAACCAGCCATGTACATAAGGATGAGTTCTCTCTACACCCCTGCCCCTGCCACCCACACCCATCTCCCTGCCATTCTTTAAACACACCATCCAAGTTCCTGCTTCTCCACAAGCTATGCCCCTATCCTTGTATTGCCACTTAAATGCCAAAACCCATTCCAGTCATCTCCTCCCTGGGACTGCACCTGTCTGTACCTGTCTTTGAGGCTCCGCTGGGCTCCTTCTATCCTGTAATGATTTTGCTGGATGGTCTCCCCCAGACTGGGTGCTTTCTGATTTCCAACGACAGGCACCATGAGAACCTCAGTCTGGTACCCTGGGACCCAGCATGCAGTCAAATCCTTCCCTGAGTATCTCCATACGTCTGGCCTGAAGCCCCCTCCACCACCACCACCTAGTCTGGGGATCAGGGAAGGCTCCTGATGACATGGGATTTGGGGGAAAGGAGTGCATATGGCAGAGGCCATACTGTGATGGCCCCTGACCAGAGTTTCCCCGCACCAAACACCACCCCATGCTCCCCAGACTGCACTCCAAACAACCTGCTCTCTGCAGTCCCAACCACCCACTCCCAGCTTGACCCCATTCACTGAACACACCTTGTTTTTCCAACTGGGTTAGGTAGGGGCTCTTGGGAGGCCATGCCCCCATTTACTGGTGGGGAATTCAGGCGCAGAGAACGGAAGTAGCCTGCACAGTCACTGCAACCCCAGGTCCAGAGCACAGGGTCATACGGATCTGCAGAACTGTAAGGGTCTCAGTGGTCGACACGGTGGGAGCTTTCATTTCACAGATGGGAAAACCAAGGCGCCAGAGGGAGGGCCGGCTCCGGAGCCTGAGAGACTGCATGCCGAAGGTCTAACGGCTGGAAGCCCCGTGTCCTGCCAGCTCATCCTCCTCCCAACTCTCTGGCCCGACCGCTCTTCCTCAAAGGGCAACCCCACCACCAGGCAGAACAGACAAGATGACTCAGGGTAGCAGGCGCCGGGCGCGGAGTCGCCGCGCGGCCTCGGCGTTCCCTTCTGCCGAATGGGAAAACTGCAGAACACACCTGGCGAGGGGGCTGCGGACGGGGAGGCCCTGGCAGCCGCACTGACCTGTTTTGAGCGAAGACTTCACCCGGCGACCCGGCGTCCCGCCGCCGCAGCCAACAACTCGCGGCTGGCCCGGCGCGCCCACCCCGCCAGAGCTTCCGCCGGCCACACGTGACGCCCCGGAGGGGAGGGCGGGGAAAGGGCAGGGACCCGCCCCCTCCCGGGCCGGCCCCATCCCCCGGCCTAGTCGCTGTCCTTGAGTCCGCTGGCCTGACCCGCCTGCCCACCGGTCGATCTGAGTGTCTCTCTCTGCCCCTCTTGCACTTGCAAGTCCTCCTGTCTCCTGAGGCTCAGGTCTACCCTCCCCACTCCGCCCGCTGTGTCCCCATCTCTCCCTGAGTCTCCCTGCCTCTGACCACCCCTCTTCTGTTGAGTCTGCCCCCCGGAGGGCTGAACCACACACACCCACACACAGACATAAACACACCTGAGGGGGCTACACCGCCAGGCTGATAGGGGGCGGTTGGAGGCCTGACAAAGGTGGTCCCTGACCACCTCGTCCAGGAAGTCCTTCTACCACAGTCTTCAAGGGTATCCCACTTCTCTCCCTAGGTCACATCCCCCAGAGGCAGAGTGGGGGGGAAGAGTCCCACCGTCACAGCTCCCAAGGATCCCTCATCTGAAGGCTGCGGTTCCAGCACCCAGACACGTTCACTGGCCTAGAGAACAGGGGAGATTCTCACCCATCCTCCCAGCACATACACAAATGAGGGCCCCATGCTTGGCAGGCATTTGTAGGTCCTGTGCCTAGGGCACCTCTGGAGTCAGCCAAGCCAGAGATTTTAACTTTCCTGGGTTTCTATTTCCCCATTTGCACAATGGGGATATTTAGAAAAACAGCTCTCACCAGAGTGGGCATAAGGGTTTACCCTGAGGAAAGTGTCATTAATTTGAGCATCTACTACATGCCAGGCCCAGTGCAGGGCAATTTATTCCCTTTACCAATCCTCATACTCTGTTTGAAGGCAAAAATTATCATCCCAGGTTATGGATTAGGAAATGTCCAAGAAGTTCCAGGACTAGCCCAAAATTACAAGCCAATATTGGGAAAAGCTGGGACTGGAAGCTGTCTTGGTAAGTTATAGAGTCTCCCACCCACCCCCCACTGGCTATTCACCGAGTCCCTCTGGGAAAGAGTTGACTCTGAGTAGACTGTGTCTTCTGCTGGCAGGGTGAAGGCAAGATTTCTGGGAGGGGAGAACAGACCCAGACCTCAGGGAGAACTCCCGGGACCCAAGTTCATAGGGGGACAGACACACTGGGGAGAGCAGAGCACAGGGCCCTCCTCTGGACCTGGCAGTGGGGGTGTCCCTTGAGCAGTAGGTGGGACATGGGGCCCTTAGAGAAAAGGGGAGGCCCAGGCATCCCTCAAGCCCTCAGAGCAGTCAGGTGGAGGACGGGGCAAAGGGCTGGCATCTGACTACTGGCAAGGGGATAGGGGCCTAGGGGTCCATCATTTCTAACACAGTCCTGAGGTCTTCAAAGTGACCTAGGGAGAGCCCAAATTACAGAGCCTGGTCCCTCTACTGCAGTGGAGTTTGATGACTCTCACCTGCTCCCCCGAACCCACGTCTCCAGGATGTGCTATCCCAACCTCAGCTCTGAGGCCCACAGCCCAGTGGCTTAAGAACCACGGATCCCTCCCCATCCCTTCTGTGTTGACGGGAGAGTGTCAGACCCCCAATCCATAGGTTGGACCCAAGGAGCCTTGGGCCAAAGGTTACAAAGTAGAACATTGCCCTCTGACCCCTGACCAGGGCCTCTGGCCAGGCCTGCTCTTTCCCTTAGAGCAGTGAAAGGTAACCAAACAGACTGATGTGAGAGACAAAATGAACGTGCAGCAAGGACAGGTGGATGGATGAAGAGTGACTAATAAATGGACAGGGAGAATGGAAACAGATGATGGACAGGAGGAGGGGGTGACAACCCCTTCACCCAGTTACATATGGGGAAATGGGGAGATGCCTCATTTCTCTGGGGATCAAAGGCCAGGCCACTAATAACATCAACAAAATTAACTGTAGGGCCAGGGGACCAGGGTGGCGGTAGTGCCCCTGGACAGGTGGGAAACAGGCACAGTGATGAGCCGGCTGAGGCTGTGGGATCATTTATTGGGGCTGTGTCCAGCCAGGCAGCAGCGCCGCCTGGGCCCGAGCCCAGTGCCCCCAAGAGGCGCCGGGGTGGGGGAGGGGAGAATGTGCGGGAGGATCCGCTGCCCGGGGCTCGGCCCAGGGCCCGTCTCGGTCCTTGCAAAGGCGCCGTGCCGCGCTCAGGTGAGCGAGGTATCGTCGTCGCTGCCCTCGCCGCCCGCGCCGCTCACGCGCTCCTCCCGGCTCTCTGCCACCGCGCTCTCGTCGATGTTCTCCAGCGAGTCCGCGTGCTGCACTGACAGCTCCGACAGCGCCAGGCTCGGCAGCGGGCTCTGCTCCGGGTGCAGCCAGGGCTTGAAGTGAGGCTGGTGCTTCTGCTTCCACTCGGGGTACTTAACGCACGCCTTGTACATCTTCTTCATGGCCTGCGGGGCGCCGCCCAGCCGGCTCAGTGGGTGGCCGGGAGCGGGAGGTCTTCTCCACGTCCCCTCCAGCGCCCTCCAGCGGCTCAGCCCCCAGCATCCAGACTCCTGCCCAGTTTCATAACTACGCCCCTCAGCCCTAACTCTGCCCCCGGGCCCCCAGTCTCCATCCTTGACTCCACCCCCTCACCCCAGAGGCCTCTTCCCCAGCCACCATACTCCCAAAGTCCCACAGCTACTCACCTTGGGAGCCAGGAACTGTGAAGACTTATTAACCACCCACTTGGGTAAGGAGCCTGTGAGGGCAGGGAAGGGTAGTAAGGGGAGAAGGGAGGAAGAAGCCTCAGGGATCCAGCCCCCACCACAAACACACACCAGTCTCTCCCTCTGCCTGGGGCTTCCAGGGAGGCCACCCTCTTGTCCATAGGAAGGGGTGCGAGGAGGGCAAGTCCTACAGGACTTCATCATCCTCATCCTTCTTTCCCCCTCAGTCCCCAGGCCCAGCTCTGTCCCCATTGCACCTCTACTGTGCCCTGAAGAGCTGCATGAAGAAAGCCACAGGGTCCTGGGTGACCACAGGCTGCCACACACAGGTTGGAATTCTGACCCACAAAACTCAGGCAGGCCCTCCCTCCACCCACACTGCCACCCTTCCCATATCTAGCCCCTCTACTGAGAATGGCCTGATGTTCTGCCCCTCCTCTGCCTGTCCTTCCAAGCTCCTCCCTGATTACATAGGCCTCTCGGCTGAGCACCCCAACGTGACCTGACCTGGAATCCGTAGCCCAGCTCTTAACCCTGTCTCATTCCCAAGTGTCTGCCTCTGACACGCAACACACTCACTCAGTGAGGTGCCAGGAGGAGCCTGGGACATACCCGGGCAAAGATGCTCAAGGCTCACTATCCTCTAGTCATTCACTCATTCACTCACTCCACATTCACTGTGACACCCACCCTGGGCCAGCCCTGGGGACCCAGTTAAGAGCTCACTGTCTGGGGGCCCAACAGTGTGCCAAGTGTCCTGCTAGAGGGGAGTGGGCCCAAAGAGCAGGGAGCTAGTGACTCCCCTCCCCTTGGTGTGAGGGAGAGAGGAGGTGACATCCGTAGCAGCCCTGAAGGGATAAGTAAGAGAGGAGAAGTGTATCTAGGCTGCGGGAAAGGACTGCCCGGACAGGGAGGTGGGAAAGTGTAAGGAGTGAAGAGGGACTGGGGAGGACTTAGACTTTACTCTGAGGGCAATGGAGAGTCACAGGAGAATTGTAAGCAGATGAGAGTCGTGAGGAAATAGTGTTTTAGGAAAGTTTCCTGGTGGCTAGTACAGACCGACGAGGTGGCTCAGGATAGAGAGAAATGACAGATTCAGGAACTATTTAGGAGGTAGAATCAATAAGAATCAGTGACTGGATGTGGGAGCTGAGCAAAAGGGAGTGGCCCAGATGACCGCAGGCTCTTGGCACGGATGTCTGGAAAGTGGAGACCTAGGAGGAAGCGCAGGTCAGGAAGGAGATGGTGAGTCCAGCATTGGACACAGAGGGTCTCAGGTGCCTAGAAGGCCTCCTGAGGGAGGTGTCCAAGAGGCCTGACAGCCACAGGACCTCAGCAGATAGAGACGTGTGGTCAGCTGCCACAGAAGCCATGGGAGTGGCTGAGCCAGGTCTCCAGGATGGGCACAGGATGGGAGCCAGCAAGACAGACAGAGTGGGGGCAGCCAGTGAGCGGGGAGTAAAACAGAGCCTGGGGAGGGCCAGCCCGGGAAGAGAGTGCCAAACTTCATCACTGGAGTGGTGCCTACCACTTTGGCCCATTCTTTTCAGCCCACTATAAAGTCTCAAAACTTGTTTTGGATGGAGATGCCCCAAAATTCAAAAACATCTTCTAACAGATGCCCTTCTGGATCCCTGTAGATCAAGCCCCACCCTCTGTGGGAAAGGGAAGGATCCCATGATAGGCTGCTAGGGCCAAGCCCTCACCTTTGGGGTCCACCTGGGCCAGGTAGGTGATGATGCAGCTCTTAGGCCCCGTGCTCTGGATGAGGTAGCCCGTCTGGATGGACACAGCTCGGACCAAATCTTTCCGAGGTGGGTATTTCTGGGGATGGAAGGCACAGGGAGGTGAGACTTGGGTAGGAGAAAAAGAGATGTCTTTGTGAGTACACACACACACACACACACACACACACACACACACACACACACACACACACACAGATTTAGTTAGTTCACATTCCCTGCCATGTGCTCCAGGCCAGGCCTGATGCTGAGGTGAGGAGAAAGGGAAAAATCAGACTAGATCATCCTTGCCCCTCTGAAAAAAGCTTTGCCTGATCCCTTGGGAAAGCCCCCAGTCTGCACTCAGGGCTCATGAGCACGCATGGGCACTCACAGACACACACACATTCACCCTTACCCAGGCCAGCCGTACCTGTGTGCCCTCCTTGCCCTGGGAGATCAAGGCGGCCCAGCCTCAGGGAGGGCCAGAGGACCCTGCCTCTCACTTCTTGCTTCCCCTTTTCCTGGCCAACTCTGTCCCAAAGCCCAGCCAACCAAAGGCAGCCCATCCCACCCACACTGTCCTCTCCCAATCTGCTTGAGAGTCCCAGCAGGGAGACAAAAGCCATTATCCTCACTGCACAGGAAGGAAACTGAGGGCCAGAGGGCCCTATGCCTACCTGAAGTCACAGGCAAGTCATAGTGGCACCTACAGCCCAGCCCTGCCTGGCACTTCCCCTGCCCACCCAGCAGGGAAGGCAGGTTGACTCACAGGATGTTTGACTGAGTAGTTCATAATGATATAATCAGTGCCCATGGGGAGCCAGGAGCGGAGGGTGATGACATCACGGTTCTTCAGGGGCTTGGGACATCTCCCTGTGAGGGGCAAGGGACAATTCAGCCAGACCACTGGCCCACCTACCTTCAAGGGAGGGTGTGGTCGAGGCCACAGACACAGGGATGGCTAGGTCCCCCTGCCAGCTCCTCCTTATCCAAACAGGTACCCCCTGTCCCCCATTCCAGACCACAGTCCCACAGCTAGAACCAGGGAAGCGAGACCAGAACCCTTGTGCCTACTATCTGTGGCCATCCCTGTTCCTCACAACTTCACGCGGCCCTTACTTTGCTGGCCTGGCCTGTTGGTATATGTGAATGGAAGTGTATGGGGGAGAAAGAGTATTATTTTGAGTGTGTGTGCATGAACATGTGTGTCTGTGAATACATGGCACATGGCTATGGGCTCAGGCATGATGGCGTGTGCTTGTGTTTGTGTGTGTGGAATTGTATTCGTGAACATGTGAGTGCATATGTGTTTGTGAGTGTACACGTGTGTGTGCCTGTGTCTAGGAGCATAGAGGGATGTCAGGGAGGGCAACACCATGCCTCAGTACTCAGGTCTCTGAGCAGCCTGGCCATGGGAGTGACCACAAGGAGGGAAGGAGGGAGGAGGAGCCTCGGTGGGAGGCCAGAGTGGAGACTGAGGGGGCTGTTGATCAGTGGACTGCGCCTGCTCACAAGAGTAATAGCCCACGTCAGCATTGACTGTCAAGCGGGCGATGTCGAAAGTCTCAATGACGTTGCTGTCCCACTTCTTTCGGTACTCAATGTCGTGGAGGACGTCGTAGAGTGTGTCAGCTGGCACATCTCGGCACTCCATTCGGCACTGCAGACAGACATATGGGTTGACAGGGTCACACAGGACTCAGAGCTCTGGCCAGAAGACCAGAAGGCAGATAGACAAGGGTAGGAGGATGAAGAGGAGGACAGGGAGGACCAGGGGCCTCTGAAGCCAGCATGGACTCACTTCTTGCCACAAGCTCTGTCTAGCTCTCCCAGAAGCCACCTGTGCCAGGAGACAGATAGCACCTATATCCAGAGACCACCTCCCCCATCTCAGCCCAGTCTCCTCCAGGAAGCCTTCCCAGCCAGACCTTCTGAGCTCCTGCACACTGAGTCTCTATGTCTGTGCCCTCCAAGACCCCTGTGAGCTCCTTGTAAGCAGATGCTCATGGTTGATTCGGCAAGGAGTCTGGTATGGGCACGTGTTAAATGCAATGAAAGCATAAATGAAAAAATAAATGCCTAAATGGATGATTTCTTTCCTCCCATGATATTTATCACCTGGTCATACCACTTGTCCTCCTTTTTGTGTGGGTGGGTTTTTTTCAGTCAACAAACATCTTTGGATTTCTTACTATTTATTAGCCTTGCCACCAAAAAGCTTTCCATCGAGGGAAGAAAACAGCTGAGCATACCTTCTTTTTTTTTAACCCTCCCAACAACTCTGCCAGACAGGAAATCCAAGGAGGAACTTGAGGCTCAAAGAAGTTGAGTGACTTGCCCAAGGTCACCCAGCTGGTAAGCAACAGAGCTATGATTTAACCCAGATCACATGTCTGGAAAGCAAGAAAAAACAGAACCAGGATTCCCTAGATTTGCAATCAGCAAGATGGAACCCAGGCAATGTCCTTATTCTGTGGTTTTTTTTTTCACCCAAGAGCCTAGACCTCAAGATCAAGTTCCCCTCAGCAAATGGACAAGTTTTCTTACATAGGTTTAACAGGTCTCCCAGAACTGGCATTGAGACAGTGCCAAGGGAACCCATACAATATTGCTTTCTAATCACAAGGGGCTACATGCAACCACATGAGGGAGGGGTCACACTGCCATCCCCCTCATTCCAGGATAGGCCTTGGCAACACTGGTGATGGAATGCCACAGGCAGGACATACCAACACCTGGTGGGTATCCTAGGCACCAAGAAACTCATCAAGCCCAAGATATAACTTTAGAGGACAGAGGAACAACCTAAGTGACACCATGAGAATACAAGCAGACAGAGCCAGATGTGAGACATTCTGCCAGACTACTGACCCCGTCCCTTCTACAGGTCAATGTCATAATAAAGGGACTGGGCTAGACTGAGAGACTTATAGGACACAACCACCACATGAAAAGTATGATTCCAGATTGCACAGTGATTTGGACACACCAGCTATAAAGGACATTTTTGAGACAACTGGAGAAATGTGAACATGGTCTGAGTATTAGATCCACTAAAAATTTATGGAAACAAAATGGTGGAGGTTTCTGCCTGAAAAAAAAAAAGCAGGTTACAAAATTGAAGGCACCATATAATTTCATTTGGGGAAAAAATATATATATATGCATAGAAAAGTCTCAGGCAGCACATCACTTAGATGTTAACAGTGGCAATCTCTAAATGATAAAAATATGATGGTTTTATTTTTCTCTTTGCTTGTCTGTATTTCTAATTTTCTAAAATGTATATAGGGCTGGCCGGTTATCTCAGCTGGTTAAGAGCACAGTATTGATAACATCAAGGTCAAGGGTTTGGATCCCTATACAGGCCAGCAGCCCTTATCCTCCCCCACACACACCCCCCAAATGGTATAGTATTGCTTCTGCAATAATCAAAAATTTTTAAATAAAAAGGTCCCCCAGATATACTGAGAGGTGTACTTACTACATGTCAGGTACCATATTAAGTGCCTTATACACATGACCTCATTTTATTCTCACAGTAATGCTGAGGAATTAGCCCCATTTTAGAATTAAGAACACAGAAGTTCAAGGTTAGACTCCAGCCTGCAAATGTTCATTGTGTGACCCTGAACAAGTCACCTTCCCTCTCTGCCCTGTTTGCTTTTCCTCTCCATGAGGAGGTACAACTAGATCCAAACATTTAACTAGCAGCCCTGAGGTCCAGCCCTGTACTGAGCCCAGAAGAGTCAGAGATGAATCTGAGGTCTGTCCTTGAGAGGCTTCCAGTTGAAGGAGGATCCCAATTTGGAAATAGGGAGGTACCCTAAAGTGCCCAGTGGGGGCACAGAGGAGTAGATCAGCTCTGCGGTGGTGGTGGGGGATCGGGCTTCATGGAGAAACTTGGTCTCAGAGGTAGGTGTCTGCCCAGTGGCCCTGGCACAGAGGCATGCCAGATTGTGGCCTGTGGAGCTGAATAAGTTCTGTCTAGCTCGAATTTCCATGGTGTGCTATAGCCTAATACTCAAAAAGTCCCTGGTGTCCACGTCTTCTTGGAGAAATGGATGATTCGAGGGCTGGGTCAGACGAAGTATACAGTGAGCCTTACTGTGCCAGAAAGTAAAGAACCAGTCAAAGAATGATAGAGACCTTGTCCAACGGACATAGGAGCCAGCTTGAAGGACTCCCACAAGTGGAATGACAAACTCATCAGGGTTTACTTGGGACTTTCCTAGTTTTACCACTGAAAGTCTCACATCCTGGGAAGCTCCTCAGTCCCAGGTAAACTAGGATCGTTGGTCACCCTACCATGGGCTAAATCTGGGACAAACTGTATATTAAAATAAATAATGATAGTAACAGATTACAGTCCATTGACTAAAATAAGAAACCAAAGCATATACAAGGTATGAATAAATAAATAAATAAATGGAAAGTTTGATGAGGAATGGAGTATTTACATAGTTTCAAAGTAACTTCCCATCAAATTCTTATTAATTACAAAGGAAAAATAAGTAACTGCATAGTAGAGAAGCCTGGAAGATACCAACTTAATCAAGTGATCAAAGTAAATACCATTAGTAACAGGACAAGCTACAACCAGGTGTTGCCTGATAGGATGCCATAAAAATAACAGAGTCAACTCTTACGTGATATCTCTACCAAAGATGCACAACATAAATCTAATCATAGGGAAACATTAGACAAACCCCAAATGAGGGACATTTTACAAAATAACTGGCCTATAAGTGTCAGGATCGTGAAAGTTGAGGAAAGTCTCGGGAACTATACCAGACTGAAGGAGACTAACAAGACATGAGTGAATGAATGACTGAGTAATTGAACGAAGTGCCTGGAGGGATGTGACGGTGGGAAAGGGGGTTGGAGAAGACAGCACAGGCCAGATCCAGCATCATCATTAGCATCCAAACAAACTGTTGAGCAGCCACATGCAGGTTCAGGTGCTACACCAGACATTCACACACACACACCCTTCAGCCCAAGCTCATGGGATGGGCACTATCATTCCTGTGCTGCAAGATAGAAAACTGAAGCTCAGGAGATTAAGCAACTTGCCCAGATCATACATACAGCAAAGAAAACAGCGGAGCAGGGATTTAAGACCGGATTTTCCTGTACTCTTAACCACCAAGGAACACTCAAGTATGGATTCTGAGGAAACCAGAATTTCTCCAAATCCAAGTTTGGGAGCTATTTTGGCTTTGCAAGTCCTCAAACATGTTATCCTGGACAGTGGGTGTATGGGGGCCTAGACAACAAAACTCTGCTTCATAGGTTAGTATCCTGGGACTGTGTTTTCCCTTGGGCCAGACTTAGTATCCGCAGGGCCCAGCTGCACCTACTCGCTGCACATTGGGAAGGGGCTCACACTGCCCAGACACTGCCATCCTCCTTCCAGAGACACCTGGATCAGGGCTGTTGTAGAGGTAAAGCCCAAAGGCCACCTCTGTTACAGTAGGCAGTGGAAGGAGCACTCAGAGCCACAAGACAGACCAGGTGCCCAGTCAAGTGTAGACTCTGAATGGCACTTTATCTTTAAGATAAAGAAGCAAACTTCAAAGGTTTCCCAGGCTGGTGGCAGATTCTTGTGGAGAAAGGCTTGCAGCAGGGCCCTGCTAGGAGGGTGAGAACCCTGGCTGTGGTGGTGCAGGCAAGGAAACTGAGGCAGGCCAAGTGGCCAGGTCAGGTAAGTGGCCACGAGTGTCTCCAGCCTACGCCGGCAGGCCTGACTCCCCACCCAGGCCCTTTCCACAGTCCCCAGGTGGCAGCACCAAGCAGGGAAAATTACATCCAGCTTTGTTCCTGACACTGTGGGGGGCAGGCCCCACACCCCACAAGGTGTAATTCTAAGAGGCTTAAGGAGGGACAGGTGATGGGGTAGGGCTGAGTCACTGGATGGCACCTAGTGGGCAGGTGCGTAACAAGAACCCACGGCCACTGGGCCCTGGGTGAGTCAGTCATCTCGGTTGGACGCTGGAGCTCCCCCCTAGAAACTGAAACTAAAAAGGGGTTGCCAAAGAGCCATGATAGGCTACAAAGAAGACTTGAAAGCTTGGTTACAACAGGGAGCCTGATATTCAGACATTTTACAGCTGAGAAAACTGAGGCCCAAAGGGAATAAGTGACACCAAAGAAACTACAGGCTGTATCCCTGGCACTCCACTCTCTCCAAACCCCATGAAGTGGAGAACTGGGATTGCCCTCTCCAGCACCCCAAGACCCACAGAGCCAATCAGAAGGGACTGAACAAGAAAGGAAGACCATCAGGGGAGACTCGTGCAGGCTCTGAGGCTGGCAATCCTCGGTCCCAACCCAGCTCTTCCCCATGGGCACAAGATTTAACTCTTAATGAGTTTTAGTTTCCTCTCATGAAAATGGGGATAATAATAGTACCTACCTCATGGGAAGGTAGTGATTAAATAAGATAGTGTATGTAATATGCCTAGCATATAGTAAATGCTCAAAAAATAGTAGCTGGTATTACTCCAACAGGCTTCCATGCATAGCCATTGGCTCTTCCACACAGCCAGGACTAGGTCGCATTTGCACATACCTTCTTATATTTTGTGCCCTGGGTGCCTCTCTGGCCTCACCCTGGTCCCCGCCCCACCCTGCCCTTTTATTCATCCATCCACCACT